GCGGGGCTGGACGTGGAGCAGCAGAGGGGAGGAAGGGAGGGGTTACCCGGGGTTGAACGCAGAGTGGGGGCGTGGGGGTGGTGCACGGCTGAACGCAGAGCAGCAGCAGCAGCACAGAGAGGTGGGTGGCGGCAGCCATATGCAAAGTCCGCCCCCCGCCCGTCATTCTTGACAGGCAATTCACTAGTGTTACTACATGGAGGACAGCAATGCATTATTTCCCAAGGCCACTGAGAGTTGGTCAAGTAATGGTTGGCTTAATTAGATTCAGATTAGATATTAGCAGTGGTGCCCACCCTTCCTGCCCTGCTGGCCTGATCTGGGCTCCCCACAAGACCAGATATTTAACAGTAGGGGACTGGTAATTAACTCTGCCGCTGGCCCCCCAACACCAAATTTCCATACCCTTCAGGAGATGAGATTTGGACACCAAGATTTGGGAGGCGGGCATGCTAGAAGGGAGGGACAGGATACAGCTGGACCTGGACAGGTTACAGGGGTGGGCAAATGAGAATAGGATGGGATTCAATACTGAGAAGAGCAGGGTACTGCACTTGGGCAGTAAGAACCAACAGCATACCTATAGGCTGGGGAACTCCCTTCTCAAAAGCACAGTGGCAGAAAGAGATCTTGGAGTCATTATTGATTCCAAAATGAACATGGGCCACCAAGGTGAGGACGTGGTCAGTAAAGCCAACCGCACCTTGTCATGCATCCACAGGGCTAAGGAGGTGATCCCTCCCCCTCTATGTGACACTGGTCAGGCCACGCACTAATTGTGAATGTGGTTTTGGAGTCCCACACCCAGGCTCAGCTCCACTTCCATCACTGCTGCCTCCAGGCTGCCCCATGGGGCAGCAGCACAGAGGACTGCAGGGCAGCCCGGGAAGCAGGCTCTGGATGGCTGCCATTGGGGGGGGGGGGGCACACAGACAGACACGCAGTCTACAGGTGGCTAGGAACACAGCCCAGTGGTGTATAGAGCAGCACCCAGTAGGCAAGTCTGTGAAGTGGAAGGGGCATGGGGTGGGGCAGATGGAGGCCCCCAGGGTGAGGGAGGGAGTGGGGCAAAGGCAGGGGCAGGGGCAGGCCATAGGATGGAGCCACAGGTGTCTTATCCAGAGGTGCGGTGGGGCTCCCACCACTGCGCACACCCCAGGGGAGATATGGGGGGGCACGTGTCCTCCAGATCTGAGAGTGGGGTTGAGGTTGGCTGCTGCAGTGGGCTAGGTCTCTGTGCCCTGCTGCCAGTGCCCCAGTAGCCATGCAACACCATGTCGTGCCTCTCACCAGGTGGGCAGGTGATGTGGTGCAGCCACCACCCAGCTCCCAAGGCAACGGCAATTGGGTGCAGAGCCCCAGCCCTTAATCAGCAGCCCGCCTCCATCCCACACACAAAATTGAGGGGCACATGCCCCTCATGTCTCCCCGAGGGTGTGCGCAGCCCCCGCATGAACCACTCACGGCAACGTCCCTCGACCTACCCTGGCCCTGGGGCCCCATTCACTCCAGTCCTTGCCCCTGCCTCTGCCCCAATGCCTCCCTCAATGTGGGGGCCTCGATCTGCACCCCTGCCCCTTCCCTCCCCCATACCCTTTCCCCGTCAGAAACTTACCTGCTGGGCCGTATGTGTCCCCCTCATTGCCAAACCACAGCCCCCCCCAGCCCTGCTGCTGTCCCTCACTCCTGACCCACAGTACCCCACATCCTGCC